TTAATCTATTAAAAACCTAAATATGATTTTATTATATTTTTTATGATTTTTTTGGATTAAATATTAATTAAAAGAAAAAGAAATTAATTAAGAGATAAAATAAAACAAAAAGAAAAAAGAAAATATAAAAAGGGTTGAAAAATAAGTAAGAAAAAAAGTTGTAGGCGCTAGGGCTTAAACCCACACCCTTCCCTTTACTAGACTTCACCCTTACCATCTGAACCATGATGTTTATTTGTTACTCGAACGCAAACATATCATTATATAATAAATAATGCCTTAAATTTGAACTCAAAAGAAAGTCAGTACACGTGGGGCTTTGTTATTAAGAGAGATATAATCATGAGGCTCCATTATGCCACGCCAGCCCTAATTAGAGTCAACTAAACTCAGATACGCCAAAGTCAAATTCCGGTCGTCTTCTCCGGCGACTCCCAATGTCCAACCTGTAAAAACGGTAGATTCAAAGCAAAAGGGGGACCCTATCCCCCTAAATAGACCCTCCTAAATCCAAGTCAAGTGTTAGTTTTGGCTAAAAGTGCCTAGATCGTGAGTTTCAAAGAAAAACCCTAGCTCGATTCATCAATATCCAATCATAAGTTCAATGTTATAAGATTCGTGTAATGGTCATAACTTGTTCTAAACATCATCATAAACATACATGAACACACAAGATTAGTTAACAATGCATAAAATAGAAGTTTAGAGTTTTGGAAAAGTTACCCAATCAGTGTTCTTGAGAGAGCTTGTTCTGGGATGCCTCGAGCTTGTTGAAAGACTGGAAATGACTCATGGGATCTTCAGGAGTGTAATGGAATGCTTAGAATTTCTTGGGCACGACTGGAGATTAGGATTTGCACTTGCCCTAACTTTGAGAAAATTTGGAGAGTTCTAGGGCTTGCTCTTGAGGTAGCAATTCATGTCCCTCTCTTTGTCTGAATGTATTAGGTATATATAGGAGAGTGCATTAGGTCAAGAGATATGGAAAGAATCTTGTGCAATCAAAGCCAAATCAAACAAGAATAAAACATGTTTTTCAAGCTTCCATATTTGAGGATTCTTTCCATATTTGAATTAACACGGTTTTGGCAAGTTGGATATGTGATCTTGGGCTTCAAAATGATCCAAAACAAAAGCGCACATGCCTTGGTCCATTAATTTACTATTTTATTTGATTTATTTTGCTTAAATGAATAAAAATCAAAATAAATGAAATAAAAATAAAAGATAATGCATGAATGGACTTATGGGTCCTTAAACATGTCATGAACACTTTTGAACCTAAAAACTTAGGCCCATTAGCCAAAAAATGCAATTTTGCTCAAAGTGGACTTCATGCATTTTCTCAAAATTGCTCAACTTACACCAATCATAACTCTCTCAATTTTTGTCATATGGAGTTTATCTTGGAATTTTTGGAAATCTCAAGATGCCCCCCACAACTCTCATGTTGGTCCTTTTTTAATTTGAAGTCTTTATCTTGATGTAAATTTCTTTGACAAAAAATGTCTTTTTGTTGACTTTCAAAATGACCTATAATGTTTTGGCTCATATCTCTCAAATGAAGCATTTTTTAGACTTGAGCTTAGATAGACAAAGTTGTAGAGAATTGAACTTCCTTCAATATAGGCTTTGGTTGAGAAATTTATGATAAAGCATGTGAAAGTTATGTTTGGTCAAAGTTTAGTTGACTTCTCCTAAAGAAAACCCTAATTTAGTAACTTTTGTCTTTTGATGAATCTTGAGTTTTCTTGATGAATCATGATAAACCCTTGCTCAAATGATGAATGTGACTTCAAAATCTTCATGTTGACCAAAATTTTTGAGTTTTGACTGTATGTTGACCATAATTGACTTTTTATTCAATACAATTGATTTTTAGTCATCCGAGCAATTGATTGAGCAAACTTGTGATGCAAGGCTTGAAACTTGTCATGAGGGTACGTTGAAGCATATGAGGAATCACTGATTCCACTTAAGGCATTAGAAGCTCAATTTTATTTGAGAAATACAAAACCCTAGTTGTAGGTCAATTGCTTAGAAGAGGTGCTTGTATGCTCAAACCCTTGAGTATTCTTGAGCAATTGAGAACCCTAGGAGCATGAGGAGGTGTCTTGAATTAATTGTTTTAAAAAATGGGAGGGAAAATTTTGGGGTACAACAACTGCCCCTATTCAATCTTCTTAAACATGAAGAGTTAGATTGAGATGTCCGCCATTCGTGATCTAAAGGTGGAAGAGGATTTAACACTTAAGTGCCCAAAAATTTGCACTCGTTGGTGCACGAAGTAAAGCTACTGGTTAATAGTATTGCTTGAATGGGCGTTAAAGATACCATTCAAGAAGTTGACAGAGTGTCGTCAGAGATGGGCTATGGACGACATCCAAAGTAACTAGTAGATGCGCTGGGGAGTATCAGAATGAAATCTATATATTGATTGTATATGAGGGAAATTCTTTTCAGAATGAATCTCAGAAGGAAATGCTCGTCAAAATTCAGTCTTTGAAGGAAATCATTTGGTCATGCAGATACTTACCCCGTCCAGTTTCGGGAATTGATCTACAATCTGTTTTTCATTGGTAAACTCGTCCTGTTTCGAGAATTCATACGACCTGGTCATATAGATAGTTGCCTCATCCCGTTTTGGGAATTAATCTGTGACCTATTTTTCGTTGGTAAACCCGTCCTGTTTCGGGAATTCATATCGCCTAGTCATATAGATAGTTGCCTCGTCCTATTTCGGGAATTAATCTGTGACCTATTTTTCCTTGGTAAACCCGTCCTATTTCGGGAATTCATACCTCCTGGTCATATAGATAGTTTCCTCGTCCTGTTTCCGAAATTAATCTGTGACCTGTTTTTTATTGGTAAACCCGTCCTGTTTCAGGAATTCATACCGCCTGGTCATACATCTAGTTGCCCCGTCCTATTTCGGGAATTAATCTGTGACCTGTTTTTTATTGGTAAACCCGTCCTGTTTTGGGAATTCATACCGCCTGGTTATATAGATAGTTGCCCCGTCCTGTTTTGGGAATTAATCTCTGGCCTGTTTGAAAATTATTGATGATATTTGTTTTTTTGCAAACTTTACCTGAAAAGACAAAATTAGCTTTATGTAATGTCATGATATATGTAATCCATTGCGTAATGATGCTCTCAAAATAAATGAAAATGTTATATGCGTTTCATTATGCATATGCTATGATGTATTGTGAAATGATGTATGGACTCAATATGTTGTTGAATTGTATCGGTAGCTCCTTGTAACAATGTCTAGCTGGGGAAAACAAATCCCGGACTGTTGCTGGGGATGAAGAAAGTGATTCTTCAATTTCTACTGGGAATAATTTTGCTGGTGTTGTAACCGATTTTTAAATCAGAGTCGTCACCCTTAATTTTTATCCTAAAGGAATGGAGTATAAAGGAATAACCCTAAAAGTTATATATTCTAGGTTGTTGACTCGGTTCTAGACGAAGGGAAGGTGTTAGGCACCCCTCATCTACCTTGTTCACAAGGATACTAGGTTTAGAAGCGAGATTTCTAGGAAATAGGGTTTTAATATTTTATTTGAGGAAAAGGGTTTGTGTTTTAATTAGTGGGACTCGCCACGATTTTAATCGTATGCCTACGTATCCTCTTAGGAGGAATCAAAGTCTCATTTCGTAGGTCGCGGTGTTTGGTTGGTATTTTTTATAAGATTGCATAGAATTGCTTTCGAATTTACTTTGAACCTTGTCTAGGTTGTAAGTTGAGTGATTGTAGACACATTTCGTAGTTTGATTCGAAGATGATGTTATTTAATCTTTTTTTGAAAAAATGATATTGGATTTTGATTATGTTAGTTGAAAAATGTTTGTATGTTGGTTAGCTATTTTAAAATGTAGAGAGAGGGGGAGTCTGATATAGTCTCCTCAACACGTGGCCATATATTAGCCACATGTTGCTTATCATGAAGGAAGGGAGGAAGTCTAATATAGTCTTCCTCATCACGTGGCCAGATATTGGCCACGTGTTGCTCGCGGATGAAATATTTGGAATTACGTGGGTTTTAATATTTTGATATAAAATATTAAATTAATTATTTTTCTATAGCAAAAAGTTTGATACAAGTAAGTTAATCTAACTTACCAAACAAATAAAATTATACCTATCCTTTTTATATCTTAGAATTTTAATTAAAATAAAATAAACTAACTATTAAATTTAGTCAAAGTAAATAAACTAATAACTATACTAAAAAACTCAGATTAATTGAGCTGAAAGGGTGTGTAAAATAGGAAATTATTGATAGCATGAGCCTAAATTCATATATTGAATTCAGGCCCAAAAAGTAAGGAGAGGTTTAGTAATATCTTTGTAAAATATTAAATTAATTAATGTGAAAAATATATGATTACACACAAACTAAATAGACTAATTAATCTAAGCAATAATAAAAACATATCTTATATTCTAAAACTTTGTAGAATTAATCTAATTTAAAATAAATTAAATTAACCAAAACATCTGCAATTAAAAAAATATAATTAATCTAACTTAAGGGTAAATTATTAAGACAAGGGTGTTAAGTTATGATTAAGATTATTAAGAGTGACCCAAAATCCATTACACTAAAAAACTTGATATAACCTCTGAATAAAAATTAACTGGACATTAATCATCACTCCAACACACCTAGGGTAGCGCCTCTTTTCACTTCAGTATGAGAAACGAAAAGAGAAACAAAATAGTAAAGCCAAAAGAATTGACATTTCCACCAATTCAATTATCCAACTGGAATTTGACAAGTGGCAAAAAGAAAAGGCAAAAATGAAATTAGAGATAAACTGGATCAGTAAATCAGAATGGGTCCACCATCCCTATTATTTCACTTTCTCTCTCATTCTCTTTTCTCTCTTTCAAAGAAAAAAAACCCAACAACAAATATCCAAATTTCTCCAATGATCTTGTTTCTTTCATAATTTTAGCAACAAAAAAACATATTGACGCCTCCTTAAACATGAATCATATGAAAATAAGTGAAAAAAGGAACCTGAGTGATGGAGATCTGATGTGGATATATGGTGAACCGCTGCTTCGAGCTTCGTCGATGGTCTGTCAAGGATGGTGGCAATCGCGTCAGACGCGGTTTGCAATTCGAAGGTTTTTGAGCGGCACTGCTGATGGCAGTCGGTGGTCTGTGAGTTCTTATGGTGAAAGCTTTTTTCCTAACTCTTCACTGTTCTTTGAACTAGTTTTTTTGTGATAAACTTTGATTCTTGTTCTTTGTATCTATCTCATATTTCTTTGTTGTTACAGTTTGTGTAAGGTGCATCGCAAATCTGCAGAGTCAGATGTTGTTGTCAAAGAGCAAGACGCGGAGGCATGTGAATGAAATTTATGTTTATCGGTTCTACTTCTTTTTTCTGCCTTTCTGCAAACACAACAAGAAAAAGACAAACAATGATTGTAGTGTTTATTGAATTTGATTTATATTTTGATGTTAATTAATTGTGATAATAATGAATTAGTAATAGGTTAATAAGTTAATGGCAGTTTGGAAGATTGTGATTGAATTTCTTTATTAGTGTTTCTTCTTTTGTTGAACCTGCAGACTGTTAGAATAACATACAAGATATTTTGATATGTTGTATGTGGTATGGAAATTTCTACTGTTGTGTTGTGAGTGTAAATGTGTAATTATGTTGTTACTGGATTATAATGGTGAAGGTAAATTGATGATTTTCGAGAGTGTGTTAGACAAAAGCTACATGTACAAATTGCTTTCATGTAATAAAATTATGGGCAAAATGTATTCTAATTTCTATATAAAATATGTATGAAGTGTGTGATAAAATTAGAATGAGTAAAACTGTTAGTAGACAAAATATATACAAATTGTGGAATGAGAATGTATGTATAACAGTAGGTTATATGTAAAAAAGCATCCAAACTATAATATAAAAGAAAACCCTCACTTTATACATTATGTGGTTAAAAATTAAAACCAAAAAAACATGTATTGTGAAATTGTAAAAGTGTTCGTTCAACCATTTAATTTAAAAACAAATAACTTATAATTAGGGAAGAGGCCTCATATGAAATCACCAGCATAAATTAAATATCGAAGTTTTGAAGAAAAAGAGTTTTGAAAAGAAGTTGCAAAATTGTGTCTAGTGATATTGTGAGAGGTTCGGGATGAACTGTGTATATTATGGATGATCTAGAAGTGTGAAAAATATGTCCTATTTATAGATAAAAAACCATCCAAATTGGAAATAAAACAAAACTGACCAATCAAAAATAAAGTGTGACATAAATTGACATCAAATGGCAATAAGAAACACCTATTTAAAAAGGAAAGAAAATTAGTGACAAAAAATAGAAAAAAAAAAGAAAAAATTGAAAGTGTGGCACAAAAGATTCGAACTCATGGCCTTACGCTTGCAAGCTTCATTCTTCACCAATTGTGTTATGTTACTGATTTATAAATAACTCAATTTGAAAGTATACAAAAGGTGTGCAAATATTTATCTATTCAAAAATCTAAATGATCTGAAATAAATCATTATATTTTTAAATAGGTTTGTAAGAGAATATTTATAAAAATCAAATAGTATTATAAAAACCATGTTTAAAATATTTTTTGATTGTAGAAATAAGGGGCGGGCAATTTGGGGTATGACAGTTTCCCCTATTTAATCACTCTGCGATTGAATGGAGCGAGAATGCGTAGGTTTCTCACATTCGAGTCGGAGGGTTATTAAGTATTAGAAGACCCCAAAATTTGGATCAAAGATTTATTAAACAAGCATACACTGATATAGCATACCCAGAGCGCCAAGAAATAAGCAAAGATGATGATGTATCATCCTACCAGAGTTTCAACAAAAAAAAGGCAAAGACGATAACATATCATCCTACCAGAGTTTGAATAGAGAGATGTGATTGAAGAGTAAGATTGATCTAGATATGACGACGTGGATAACTCGTCAATACCTAGAAAAGAGGCCGTAATAGAATTTACCATAACCTATGAGGTAAATGATACAGATTTTGAAAATTTGACTTACTAATGCTTGGAGACTAATATAGTAAGTTTTGGTTTGATTTAATTTTGTCTATTCATTGTGACCTAGGGGTTGAATAAAACAAAGTCTGATAACACATTGTTGGAAGGAGTCTGATGCAATGGATTACACAAATTTATTCGCATATCTATCGCAACCTAGGGGATAGATAATTGAAAAAAGTTGGACAACAACATCGCTGCATGGAGCCTGAAGCGATGAGTTATATCACAGATTTCACACATTGCTGGATGGACACTGACGCAATGAGTTATATCGCAGATTTCTTCATGTTTACTACAACCTAAGGAGTAAATAGTACGAGGATGAACTTATGTATTTATCATGAACTAGGGGATAAACAATAATAGGATGGGCTTATGTTATTCATCACAACCTAGGGGATGAATAGTATAACCCTGAAAATTCACGAATCTATCGCAACCTAGGGGATAGATATTTGAAAAAATTTGATAACACATCGCTGCATGAAGACTGACGCAATGAGTTATATCGCAGATTTCATCATGTTTACTAAAACCTATTGAGTAAACAGTACGAGGATGAACCTATGTATTTATCATAACCTAGGGGATAAAAGACAACATGGATGGTCTTACGTTATTCATCAAAACCCAGGGAATGAATAATATAACCCTGGAAATTTGCGTATCTATCACAACCTAGGAGATAAATATTTGAAGAGTTTGCACGTTTATCAATACCTAGGGGATAAACGACATGAAGATGATTTTATGTATTCATTGCAACATAGGGAATGAATAATATGAATCTGGTAATTCGCACACCTATCACAACCTAGGGGGTATATGATTGAAAAAGTGTTTTTGATGATCAAATCTTAGATAACTAGATCAAAGGTAAGGTCATAGTTTTACCGGTTGTGTCTGTTCTCAACCAAGGTAATTGCTGAATAAGTTCGAAGTTATACCAGTTGCGTCTGTTCTCAACTAAGGTATTTGCTGAATAAGATCGAAGTTATATCAGTTGTGTCTGTTCACAACTAAGGTATTTATTGAATATGCTTTTAAGGTATGAAGATTGAAACTGAAGTTTCGCCGATGATGCCGGTTGTGTCTGTTCTCGACCGAGGCTTGATGACTAAATGAAGAATCAAATCCCAAATTTTTTCTAATGATGTCAGTTGTGTCTGTTCTCAACCAAGACTCGATAACCAAATGAAATATGCTAGATTTAAAGCGATGGAACCCAAAATTCTATGATGGTGTCGGTTGTGTCGTCCTCAACCATGACTATCAACAGAAAGAAAATAGACCCTAAAATTATTTGATGATGTCGGTTATGTCGTCCTCAACCATGACTATCAACAGGAAGAAAAAACGGCAAACTCACGATGATGTCGGCTGTGTCGTCTCAACCATAACCATCAACATGAAGAAAATACCCCAAACTCATGATGATGTTGGTCGTGTCATCTCAACCATAACCATCAACGTGAAGAAAATACCCCAAACTCACGATGATGTCAGTCGTGTCTTCTCAACCATAATCATCAACGTGAAGAAAAATACCCCAAAATCATGATGATGTTGGTCGTGTCGTCTCAACATAATTATCAACATGAAGAAAATACCCCAAACTCATGATGATATTGGTCGTTTCGTCTCAACCATAATTTTCAACATGAAGAAAATACCCCAAACTCATGAGGATATTGGTTGTGTCGTCTCAACCATAATTATCAACATGAAGAAAATACCCCAAATTCATGATAATATTGGTCGTGTCGTCTCAACCATAATTATCAACATGAAGAAAATACCCAAATCACTTTAAAGTTTGAACTATAACATTTTCACATATAAGCTTGCTAAAGATGAACCACAAGAAAATTCGTAATTTTAACCAAAGTAGCTTCGCAAGATGTCATGCGTGCATAATGCCCTAAATTGATATGCTATCTAAGTGTGATGTATGCCAAAATGTTTGTATGTTTCATGCCCCAAATGTTTGTATGTATATGCCCCAAATATATGTATATGCCCCAAATGTGTGTGTATGCCCCAAATATATCTTGCAAATGTTTTTGACAATTCTCCTTTGCTAAATCAACGGGTTCTCATAGTCACCAACTCCTCAACATTGTTTGTTGCCAATCGTTGTATCTCCAAGTTGATTTAAATTTGGTGAAAAGTGTCAACAAGATCTCAATGTCTGTATCGTAGGCGCAGATGTAGGTATGGACGTAGACGTGGACGTTGGCATGGATGTTGACATAACCGTAGGCGTGGAAATAAGCGTGGATGTTGACATAGTCGTAGACACAGGCATGGTCATGGACACAGACGTAGGCGTGGATGCTCTTCTAACCAAAAATGCTTTTTGATGCTTTTATCAAATTCTCTTTGGTGTTTCTGTATGTTAGACACACTAAATGTTGTAAATGACCTTGAGATTTTGATATGGTTATGCGTATGTCATGCTTGATGTGAGGCTCTTAGTGGGAAATCTACTATCGATATTTCCAAGGAATCTACTGTCGAGATTCGATGTAGAATTACCTTCTGCCGAGGTCTTCTGAATAAATAACTGTCGTGATCAACCAAGAGAATTTACTTCCGAGATTCAATTAGAATACCTTCTGCTGAGGTCTTCCGAATAATCAACTACCGTGATCAACCAGGAGAATCTACTCCCTGGATTTGATTTGAATTACCTTTTGCCGAGGTCTTCCGGATAATCAACTGCCATGTTCAACCAGGAGAATCTACTATTGAATTCAACATAGAATTTATAGCTTGATTGACAATGATGATTGCCTCTACATAAAACGAGGTTTCATGATGTGCGTGCAAATTTGATTGATGCATGAAGTGTAATGATTGATTGATGTATGTGATGTGATGATTGATTTATGTATGTGAAGAACGACTTAGATATGTGTAAATGGATGTTGGATTTCGAAATGTGAGTGTGTAGTTGGGCTTTTTGAGATACGCTCGACCCATGCTGTTGGAATGCGTAGATGGATGAGATGATAATATGGCTTGGTTTTGGATCTAGGAGCCTTAATGCATAATTTATGCAGCCTTATACTTTATGATTATGACTTGGATATTTTTTGAATGAGGTTTGTTTATGCAACAAGGTTGCTTGTCACATGATGGTTGAGTGTTGAGCTTGCATGATTCCCTGATATTTGTTTTGAACTCGAAGATTGCTGACGTAGAAGAGAAGTCCCATGGAGGTTTGTGAAAGTATGAAGAGAGCTTGCTTTTGTATGGACTATTTTCCTAATTTGTTGGTAGGGTCCTGGAGGAGATTCTCTTTGATATGATCTTGGAAACAGTTTGATCATAATGTGAATAACCCAACTATTTTGCATTATGCCCTTGATTAAAAGACTCCTAAAAATGCTTGGCTTTGATGGA